AGCACAACGAGACACGGAACACATCACAACGAGACACAGAACACAGCCCAAGGATACACGGAACACGGCACAACGAGACACGGAACACAGCACAATGAGACACGGAACACAGCACAACGAGACACGGGACACAGAACAACGAGACATGCAACATAACACGAGACACAGAACACAGCACAACGAGACATGCATCATAACACAACGAGACACGGAACACGGCACAACGAGACACAGAACACAGCCCAAGGATACACGGAACGCAGCACAACGAGACATGCAACATAACACAACGAGACACAGAACACAGCACAACGAGACACGGAACACAGCACAACGAGACACGGAACACATCACAACGAGACCGGAACACAACACAACAAAGCGGAAAATATTATCTAGAAAATCAGCTCGCAAGACGAGGAGCGTTGCATACTTGAGACCATTAGTGATACACTCAACAATACAAAAACAGCCAATCGACGCGATCGACACACATGGTAACGACACAGGGTTAGTATTCTGGGAAATAAACAAGTCTACGACGACACCACTCACTCAATTTTTCATAAGCACAAAACGTTTTATTGAATGCTTTACTATTTGCTCATAATTAATTCAATACCAACGAAGCAATAAATTGATTACGTCAATTTTCCGTCGATGAACCAACTAAATCCCCAATTTCAGTTCATTATGAGAATAGTCTCATGCCGTATTTGAAAGAAGATTAATTATGATTCATTCAAACGAAACAGTAGTTTGTGTACGTGAACATCATTAATTTATCGTTACAATTAGAGTGGCTCGCTGTTCAGAATTCGCTATGCAGCCATGGGAATATTCTTAGGTCCGTTGCCATTTATATTTCACACCTGCGTTTATAATTATTTCATCAGCATGGATTGCACTACATCATCCGAGTGATTTATTATGGCAGTCGACGTCGACTTAACCCAAGTGTCAAAGCAAGGACGAATCTGCCAGGGAGTTGATGATTTTGTAAGGGAAGGGGGAGGGGGTTTGTTAGGCAAATCTTTGAAAATAACCACTTTATTAGGAGAATCATTGTGTCACGTGTGTCGGGGGGGGGGGCACAAATATGGGTTATCTATAATGTTTAATTTGTTTATGCAATTGATGTTCTGCATGCGCAATTAATATGAATCCGAGCCCCGGGGCATACAGAAACACCATTTACGTCACGAGTCACGTGGCAATCACGCGCGATCATGCGAGTCGGTCAATGACGAGGGGTGGCTTATACTATATTCTCTTCTGGTGGTTGACTGCATCTCATCTATTCGACTCAGTATTAGCTGCACACACTATATATTAGATTTTCTTCATCGTCACGGCACATCCATATATATATAACCTGCATAGCGCCGGGGTCATGTTAAAATGATATTCATCGAATAATTGGCTTTCTCGGAAATTTCGCGATCGCGTATATTTGTAGCGATGTTTTTTGTAGTACTACCTTATCTTGTAAGTCTGCTTTTAATTTTTCCCGCGCACCCCCGCGCCGCAATTCCATCGTATGAGGAGGTTTGTAACGTGTTTAAGTTGACTGGAATTGGCTATGACGGTATTTCCAGCCACGACGCAGCAACGGAGAATACCGACAAATGTGAAATACACACACCGCGGAGTACATATGTATACGGCAAAGGAGTAGCAGGTATGTGTCTTGTTTAAAACACACTAGTACAGTGTGTGATTCAGACGACGTATGTTTTATACCTAATAATATCATACAATTCAAGACACGAAGTACTATGTATGTGCATACCTAAATCACATAGAGATACGGAGACAAATGCACATGAAATGATCATATGATTCAATAGCGTTTTT